GTTATTGCTCTAAACTCTCTCTATTAACGTACGTCAGGTGAGTGTTTGAAAGAGCAGAAACTAGCGTTATGCTAAACTATGCGATTGTTTTATTTAGTAACAATGTTATCTAGCTAGCAGTTACAACGTTAAATAATTTCCAGTTGTGCTCAAGTTTTTATGTGAAAAACAGCTTTGTGAATTTCTGAACTATTGAAAACATTTTCGCTGAAATATCACTCAATGTGACCGCACGCAAGTTAACTTTAATGAGGTTATGTGATTAATATGAACGTCAATGTACAGTATAATGAATCAAGCAAACAAGAATCAAACTATCGAAATGCACACGGACCGAAGTATTACAAATCAGAAATCTAAAACAGAAAGGCAAACTTACCTTAAACACGAGAAAATCCAGCCATGCATCTCCTCCGTGACAAGCCCAACCGTCCCTCTGATTCAAAGCGTGGGTCCAAACACGCATGCGCAGATTCAAGCACGCTGATCTTTTAGATTAAAATTGACTCAGTATTTCTAGATTTATGTGCAATGACTATTAAACATATAAATATTACAAGTAAATATTAATAAGAGTTACTCTTCTCACACAGCTCATTAATTACATTAATTAAATGTGTACATTTTACTTAGAAAATTGGTGTTCTCCTTGATTTTTAATATTACAAGTAGAATTTATGATGATTAATTTAATATATTTTACAACACCACAAAAAAAAAAAATTCAGTGTACTTAAGTATTTTTTGGGAGTATCTGTACTTTACTTTGAATTTTTATATTTCAGTCAACTTTTACTCCACTACATTTCCTAATTAAAATGTATACTTTTACTCCGACACATTTCCCCGAAGCATATTCGTTACTTACTACAAAATAGTCAGAAGTCAGAAGAACACGGACTGCAGGAAAGCAGGTTTGACGAATCAGTGGTCTGGCGTTTGCAAGTTAGATTACTAAAAACACCTTTGCTCATGTGCAAACAAGTGCGGTCACAACCGCGGATGATTCATTTTCCACTCAAGTTGAGTCTGAGATGTGCGATATACAGTATATCTTAAGTGTTGTTGTAATGATGTGCGATCTGACATTATCAAGTAGGCTATATCACCAGATCACACATAGAGTGCACGCACGTTGATTTATTAGTCTATTAAAACTCAATTCCAGGCATTCTAAATTATAGACGGCAAAAATGATTCTGTATGCTTATTATATTTATATAATTTAATATAGTTAACTTCATCTATATCACACAAAGAGTACCGTTTTTCTGCAGATATCAGCATGAACACATTTATCATTTTATGCAAGTTCAGTAAAGCAATAAGTGACTTACATTTTAGACATAATATTGCTTGTTTTTGCTCAATTTTGCTAACGAAAATAGAAAAAAAAGATCACAGTTTTGCGTCTCTGAGCTGTGGACGGTGTTTACTTATTGAATGAATCAGATTTTTGTACGAATCGGTTGAATAAATGATTCAGTGATTCACTCATTAGCACAGTCAAATGCTTTGTATCTGAATTAATCAGTCATTTGAATGAATCGGTTGAATCTCAATTACTCACTCATTAACAGTCACTTGCTGCCACCTACTGGCGGTTTTAATTTCACATTTCAACATTTTTTTCATGTTTTAAATCATTTCAAATATCAGTATCACGATATTATGTTAAATATAATGTTTTATGTTAAAAACAAAACATTATTTATCCATCTGTAACTGCAGATTAAATGCATCCATGTCCCCTCTGAGCTGCATTAAACTGTGTAAATCTATCTAAATGCTATTTCAGGTGCAGATTCCAGAAATGTTTTCTTATGTTGGAATGAAAGACACTAAGTACCAGATGAAGTGCTTCTTATTATTAACCAAAAATACGAAATGGAAGAAAGAGTTAAAACTGAACACAATCTTGCTAATCAAGCCGTGTATGAACATTTTTTTATATATATGTATTTGCTTCTTTTCCATTTTGCATTTACTTGTACTTTTACTTTCAATACTTAAGTATGTTTAAGATTTAAAAAATACTTTTCATACTTAAGTACAATAAATATCACATACTTTAAGACTTTTACTCAAATAATATTCTAAACGGTGACTTCAACTTCTACCAAAGTCATTTTCTGGTAAGATATCTGTACTTTTACTTGAGTATGGCTTTCAGGTACTTTATACACCACTGCAAGACACTATAGTTAATTTATGTAAGTGAGGATAGCAAAGTGAAGTGAACTGTGACATACCAAAACTTCTTCATACAGTGGACTACCAGTAAAATTGATTAAAAAAATGTGGGACCAAAAATTATTCAAAAACTTTGACCTGACCATGTTTTGCTTAAGTGTTTTTTTTTTCTTTAATTGCTAATGCGACCTTTTTACACCACAGACTGAGCAAAATTAAGCATTGCTTGGCAATTGGTTGACCTAAATTGGTATTATCTAATTGTGTACTTAACAGCTGAATTTATTTTCAACTTATAACAAGTTTTTTATTAAGTGATATAATTTAAATTTACCTTATCTACTTGAACTAGCACAGTCTGCTTTTTACCTTAAAATAACGTACTGATAACCACCATGATTAAACATTTGGTAAAACAGAAAACCACAGATGAACCAGAGTTCATCATTGGCCAGTTCATTAATTAAGACTAATACTTGTGTTGGTAAAGATAAAACACCATCAGGGTAACACACAACACTAAAATACTTCTGGGAATGTCCTTTTACTGTTTTTCCACAGTAAACTGTAAAGTTATTCATAGTTTTTAGTTGCAAAAGCTATTAATATGACAGTATTTTACAGTAAAATTACATATAATGCAATGTTAAACTATTTGTGTACGGTAAGGTAGCCTACAATTAACAGGCATTTTCTGTTGCATTTTTAGTTGCAAATTGTAAATAATTCTCACACATATTTCAAATATGATAATATATGTAAACCACATTATCTTCAACATTGTAATGCAACATGATATGGAAACTCTATATCACAGTGCTTGATAAGGTGACCTCTTCCTTCCTGCTGTTGAACCGAAACTGATATACCGGCCATATTCAGTTCCACTTAGTAATATCACTTATCACACACAATCTCATTACAAACATGTAATCACTACTATATATGTAGAAATGGATTTGGAATGGCTGCTATTGGACTCTGAGAGTCTTTGCCACTGTCATCTGAGGAGCACTTTTCTCTCTGCTCAGCTGATGTTAGGAGCTTTGCTCTATCGATCCTCCTAACCATCATGTTCAGTAATTGTGATGCACTACCTTTTAACAACTGCTGCTTATGTCTCTGCTGAATCAGTTTACTAAATCTACAATGTGAAAGGTCTTATTGCTTCATAATCGGTGCTATTGCTTTACCTTGGTCATTTCAGTTTAGCATATTGGGGATGATAAATGAATGCAAGTTGGGTGTTTAAAACAGATCTGTTAGTTTATGTTGAATTAAAGGTATAGTTTAGCCAAGAATGAAAATTCGGTCTGTCATTTAGCCTACTTACCCTCATTTTGTTTAAAACCTGTATGCATACCTTTATGCAACACAAAATAAGTTATTTTAAAGTATGTTGGTATCAAAACAGTTTTGGTTACCAATGACCTTCATTGTATGGACAAGAAAAAACAAATAAACATTGCTTAAATGTTCTTTTATGTTCCACAGAAGAAAGTAAGTCATACAGGTTTGAAGCGACGTGAGGTTGACTAAATGATGACAGAATTTTCATTTATTTAAAAATATTTTGGCCTTTACAGGTTAGCATACAAATTAAAATAATTGCAGAGATGAAAGAATAATAAGCACTACTGTAAACTCCACCCAGACTCTCAAAGGTCTTGCTTCAGTATTCTGCACTAATGAATGCTTGAGGGTTGGACTGCCTTGCAGTGCCAGGTAAAGTGAGGAAATGATGACAGAAATATTACACTATTGTATTCTGTGTACAGATGATACATGTATAACCTGAGGCTGTTTGTAAATTAAAATCAATCGTGATTAATCGCATGATGTTTTTTAATAAACATTATTAATTTATCACAACTGGTTTTGCCAAAATTTGCCTCTAAACATCAACTGTAATGTGTGATTAGATAAAAAAAAAAACGAAATATTATAATGATGTTTTAGTAATGCATAAAGATCTATAAGATCTTTGTTTTATTGAATAAAGACACCTGTGTTTGATTCACCTAAGTAGACCAAAAAGCAAACTGAATGAAAATTAACCTTAAGTTGAACTTGCATTTATATTTGAAATTGAAAGTAACTTTAGTTTTTAAAGTGCCTCAGTTAATTTTTAGTTTTTTCTCTTTGTGGTCAGGTTAGCTCATTTAGAGTGGAATACATTTGTTTGAAAATTTATTTTACAATTGAAACCGATCCAAGACCGTTTACCTAAAACATAAAAGTGCGAACACACTTAAAAACAGTGCTTTCCTCTTCCCGAACTGAAGATTGAGGCCGCTTTACACACACTGACCTGAGCTTTTTCACCACACACAAATACAGTCTCCAGTGACCTACTACCTCATCCCACAACACCAGCGCTACACTGACAGCTGACAGCTTCTGTATACTTCAGTCATGCTACCACCATATCTCAATTCTCATTTACACACACCACCTCACTGTCTCCGAGAGCAATGTTAATTTAATCTCTGCCTTCGCTCTCTCATCTCATTGTGTTCAGTCAGGTGTTCAGTGTTTTGTTTTGTTATTTGTAAAGGTCAGTGTCATTTTAGTTATGATCTGATGTGAAAAAGATGAAGAAAGGGACTATATGTACCTCACATTTGATCTTTGAATGTCGTATCAGATCTTACAGCACAGCTGTGTGTTGTTGGGACATTTAGGTCGGGCCACTCTCTTTTTCTCTCCCTCTCTCTCCTTCTCACTCTTTCTTTCTCTCTGCGGTATTGTACTGTGAAAACATGCTGGCAGTGCAGGCCTTATTCATAGAGAAAGGTCGTGAAGCAAAGTAAATGAAAAGAGCACCACTCTTTCCCTCTCTCTTCCTGTTTTCTCTGCTTTGCTATCATTCATTCATCTTGTTTCACTCCCTATTTTATCAATCTTGTATTTATTTTTATTTAGTTCTTCTCCCTCTCTCTCTCTTGTTTTTTTTTTATTCTACCTCCCTGTTGGCCTTTATATTCAATGTCAGTGATGTCTTGTGATCACTGTCATGTGCATGATATCCGAGGCGTTCTTCTCTCATGACACAATTTTTATTATTAATGCCTCAACGCTGCTGTTTTGATTAACACACTGTTAACTGCTGCAATGCCACAGGGAGGGAAAATTAGTTTGTAGCTTGTGTTTTAATGGAGAAGTGGGAAACAGAGCTGGGCTGGCCATTAATGGCTTTAGTTGGAGGTGATGTGAACATGTGTTAGGCACTGCAAGCCCCAAGCCCCACAACACACCACTGCCTTTACAAGATCCGCTGCTCTCAGCTGTGGAAAAAAATGCTGCAAGTTAAATGCTGGAATGGAGCTACATAAAAAATGAAATAAGAGGGAGAGGTGACGAAAAAGAGCTGATTATTAGCCTTACCCCTTGAGTCTCGATATATGTGTGTGTGTGTGGATGGGGGGAATGGTGGTCAGGTTTTGCCTACATTGTGAGAACCAAAATGTCCCCATTAGGGCAGTAAGGAACCCCGAAAAAACACCACATTGTGACCACTCAATGGCTATGAAGAAAATGTCTTGGTAAAAGTACTAAAAATGTCTAAATTAAAATCTAAGATGCAGAAATGTTTTTGTGAGAGTTTGGTTTAGATGTAGAAGAGTCCCACCGTGGTGTGTCTGTATGTGTGTTTGAATGTGTACCTGCTCTAAAATAAGAAGAACATTAATATGCTCTAATAAAAGCTGTGTTGGCAGATTCCCTGTGCACATTATGCTTTTACAAAAGAGTAAGAATAAAACTGGAAAGAAAGAAGGTTGAGAATGAGGAAGTGGGAATATGACAGACAAGCTATAGAGTGATAGCAGGAAGAAAGACAAACAGCTTCAGAGGATGGATGATGTGTTGACAAGATGTTGATAGGTTTTTCGATGCAGTGAAGGAAACACGTTGAGAGTATTAAAGTGAAGATTAAGAACAGGATTGAACACGAAACGAGAGGTTCTGAATACATAAAGGAAGAAATTGAGGGAGACAGGAAGAAACACAGAAAAAGAGGGAGAGGAGGTCAGTGAATTCCTCGATGAGGAGCCCAGAGCAGGTAGTCAACATAAGCAAATTAAGTGTGACTATAGGCTGTAATTCACAGGCGGAGGGATTTGGCCGTTTGATGAGCAGCTTTGGAGGTGCAACTGAGAAGAACAAAGTGCGACACTTCTGGACAGTTGAAATCATTTGTGTGAACGTTCTCTAAACACATCACTCCCTGCACTTTCTTTTCTCCTCCAGCCAACATAATCCAGCTTGGATTAAGCAGCTTTTATTTTGTCCTCCTGCGAGTATGATAGCCACACAATATTGCATTTCAGATTCAGACATCTTTTTTCACATCCTGTTTCATGGAGAATGCAATGGTTTGGGTCAGAATAAACATCCGTTTCTTGTACAAGTGTTAAATAGGTTTTCTTATCTCTTCTGCTCGGGTCAACAGGAATTTCACAGCTCTGAAATGAAATATGTTTCCAATTTATGAGAAGGTTGTGTTTAATTTATGTAACAACGTCATAGTGATTTCAGGTTTTCAACTTTGCAGGCCCTCACCATATTTTGGGCAAAATGAATCCCTGATTTTCTCCTTTGTCTTTTTCTTAGACATTTCATACTCCAAGTCTTGGTGATGAGGAGTTTGAAATACCCCCCATCACCCCTCCTCCTGAGACCGAGCCTGGTATGGGCCTCCAGGAGGTGGACTCACCTTTCCCCGGGCTACCTGTCCACCCCAACTCTCAGCGGGGGTCGTTCACCCCTCAGTTCCCACCCCAGAGCCTGGAGCTGCCTTCAATCACCATCTCCAGAAATATGATGGAGCAGGAAGGACATATCAACAATGGACATCCAGGGGTAAGTGTCTGGTTATTCTCTGGTTATTTGCTTGAACATTTTAAAGGGGACATAACACATAATCTCATGTTAATCTTGAGTACCTATAGAGTAGTACTGTACTGCATCCTTCATATCCCCCAAAAGTCTTTAGTTTTATCATATTTATAAAAGAAAGATACAGCTTTACGATTCTCTCCGAAAACAGCCAAGCTTCTTGAGGCACGCCATGGGTGGAGCTAAAGAGTCACGAGCTCTTGAGCGCCGACTGCCAACAAAACACAGACATTTGATGCAGTTTCACTTACCGTCTGCAGTTCTGAATCATGACCGGGATCTTTTATAGCTGGGACCAATCCATCTTTCAGTATCAAATGATGTGCAAATCCAGCGTCGAACTGGGCCTTGTTTATAAAACCTTCGTCAACAAACGCACTTGTGAAACTCCTTTGGTGCCCCGAAAAACAAACTGCATCCACTGATCTCGTAACGCTGGGTTCTTTGGGAAGCTGAACAAAGTTATCTTTCCCTTACAACCAAAAACACACTTCTTTGGAGACATTCTTCCTGAGCGAGTCCCGTGCAGCGCTGCTGAATGAAGCATGTTGAAGCTCTTGCTCTCGCTCTGGTCAATGTGTGTGCGGGCACGCTCTCCCGCGAGAAAAGCCCATTTAAGGAGTTTCACCCTTCATTACGTCATGAAGAGCCACAATTGAAAAAAACTTTCCGAAACTTGTAAGAAACCCGGAAGTGTGTATTTGGCACAGAAATACTCTGTTATACGTACAAATAATTTTTTGACAGTGTAAATAACTCAACATGCATGAAATTGCATTAGACACCCCCCCTTAAAGATCTTAATGTTTGCAGATGTTGAAGGTAGTCGTTATGCAAAGTCAAAAATTACACAAATATTTCCACAACATCATTCACTGGCAGTTACATTTAGCTTTTAGATCCACCTGGATTTAAGTGAGGATTTAAATCCAAGTAGGTTTCCTCCTCTAAATGCAAATATGTTTGACAAAGGTGTTATGTGCATAACAAATCAAGGTGGCTGATGATACGTGCCATTGTTATAAAACTGTATTTGTATTTGTAGATAAAGCCTTAAAGGGGTAGTCCATCCATAAATATAAATTCTGTTATCATTTCTTATCACCTTCCATGGAGCTCAAAAGGTAATATCCTGGCCACACTTTCCATTTTTATGAAAGTGAATGAGAACGTCTCGATTACGTATGGTAACCATTTTTTGACAGTGTAAATAACTCAACATGCATGAAATTGCATTAGACACCCCCCCTTAAAGATCTTAATGTTTGCAGATGTTGAAGGCAGTCGTTATGCAAAGTCAAAAATTACACAAATATTTCCACAACATCATTCACTGGCAGTTACATTTAGCTTTTAGATCCACCTGGATTTAAGTGAGGATTTAAATCCAAGTAGGTTTCCTCCTCTAAATGCAAATATGTTTGACAAAGGTGTTATGTGCATAACAAATCAAGGTGGCTGATGATACGTGCCATTGTTATAAAACTGTATTTGTATTTGTAGATAAAGCCTTAAAGGGGTAGTCCATCCATAAATATAAATTCTGTTATCATTTCTTATCACCTTCCATGGAGCTCAAAAGGTAATATCCTGGCCACACTTTCCATTTTTATGAAAGTGAATGAGAACGTCTCGATTACGTATGGTAACTCTCGTTCCCTGAAGGAGGGAACGGAGACGTCACGTCGGATGACCGACGAAATTGGGATCTCGCTTAGAGGGACCAATCTACTTTGAGTGTAAACTAAACGAGCCAATGCACATTGGCATGCGATTATTGCATCCAGCTGCTGCTGATCCCAGCGTGAGTATAAGTAGGCAGCAGATGCAGCGCATATTCAGGTTTTCGCTGAGGAGCCGAGCCGGTGACCCGGCTGCTCAGCGATGGTACAGGAGCTGTGGCGACGGGACGTCTCCGTTCCCTCCTTCAGGGAAGGAGGGTTACCATACGTAACCGAGACGTTCCCTTTCAGTCGGTCACTCCCGACATCACGTCGGATGACCGACGAAATTGGGATCCTACCAAAAGTCCACAGCTACTGCCCCTTCCAGTGTCCTGTGGAAGCCACCTGCGCCCCTATTTTTTGGCACAGGCCAGGGCCTGCACAAGAGGACCAGCTACTATGGCACTACCCACTGAGTAGACTGGATAACACTGGGGAAACGCACCCGTTCTACTTGGAACAGGGACGTTACGGAAGCTCGAACCTTCCCGAAGGAGGTTTCGGAAGCAATACACATATAGACATCCCTTAGGTGCATATGGAAGAATGGAGGTGATTGAACCCTCTTGGAATGGCAGAAGTCTGCCGGGGAAACACGGGCTCAAGGCTATACCATGGACTTTACACATATGAGATCCACTTGGGTCTTACATAAGGAAACCCAGCCTTCTACCGGTTTTCGAGGATTCAACGAGTGAAGGCCTGGCGCCGGACGCTCCACCACGTCTGGCTGCCAAGGGGACGGAGGAACTCAACAGGGTCGATTGGTCCCTCTAAGTGAGATCCCAATTTCGTCGGTCATCCGACGTAACGTCGGGAGTGACCGACTGAAAGGGAACTGGTGGAGAACTCAAAAAAACTCAAAAAAAAAAAAACACCATATAAGTTCCCTATGACTCATGCATTTTTGCCCTAGCCCTTAGCCCAATGGCTTTGCACAAGGAACAGACTGAAATTAAGTCATTATTCACTGAAAATTTCGACACCCCCTCTAAAACTGTTCTGTTGGGTCGTATCTGTTCAGTAAATCAGTTCATCCAGTTTGCAAAACTGGGCTGAATGATTCATTCAAAAAAATTTACTAATTTGGTTCTTAGGTTCAAGTCTGTGATCTGGTAGTAATGCTTAACAACTTACTAGATAAAAAAGATTATCATTCATTAACAACACACAAAGTTATTGGATGGCTTCATAAAACTTGGATTACAGTGCACAAGGCATATGGACCACTTTTATGATATTTCTGTGGTAATGGTATTTTAATGGTTGTTTTCCAACATTCTTGTAGACTATTATCTCCAATCCTCATTCATTTTGTCTTCATATAAAAGAGCGACCAGTATACTGATTAAAGTTTCTATTTTTGTGCTCCATGGAAGAAATAAAGTCATAAGTGCTTAGAACAACATGAGGATTAGTAAATGACAATATTTTGAAAAGATAACAGATAAACAATGAAGGCATGCAATAAAATTGGTCAGCTTAGCTGAATATATTTATTTTTAACCTTGTATTGCTGTGATGACTAATATGCAAGATAAAATAAAGGTCTAGGCAAGCATTTGCTTCATAATAATCATGCTTTATGATCAAGCTTTTATGGCTGTTAATTCAGATAGAGAAATGGCTCCTAAATGCCACAGACGTGGATTCATTGAAGAGGAAGCATTGAAAATGCCATGGCTAGACTAGATATTTTAAAACCGCTATTATAGAAATGAAATCGCTATTTGAATACATAAAAGGACACAAAGTGACATTAGTCAGCAGATGATGCGTTGGCAGGTTTTTGATGTTTCAGGTTTTGAGAGTTTTTTATTTTATTTTCATTCTGAATAGTGCCTCACTTTCCCTTAACCTACAATGTATATGTGGAATAATATATCTTTATTTACATTCCAATATGCATAGGCACCATCAAATTGTATTGCTCTTTTCCTGGCCATCCGTGCTGCTGGCGACTAAAATAATTGCAGCTTTTAAAATATCTGTGCTGCATAAGTGATCGCCGGAAGCCTTTTTGCCTAAAGAATTTTCATTTCATGGTCAGTTAAGCTCGTATGCATCTGGAAGAAAAACGGAACCTTGACACAATTACAACATGGCCTGTTCTCACTGCGCTGTGAAGGGATTAGATTTGATTCTTCAACATTATTCCTCTTTAGCAGCTCTTTCTGTGGACAGTGGTTCTGATTGTGTGGGGACTATATTAGCGGGTTTGGGGGAGAATGAGGGCACTCTGCTCTGTGCCTGGTGGCATTGTGACGTCCCTCTGATTCTCCTCTATCGCTCATCACTCATTGTCCTCCTGAAAGACTCTCAGTCTCTCTCCTCTTAATGGAATTGATCTCAGTTTGTCCTGCTCTCTGGGACTGGTACAGACAGTACCGTGCCTTTGAGTCAATGCCTCACATTTATAAAGGACTCGTTAAGAGTTAGCGGAAGTTAGCACTATAACCTCCAACGTTGTCCTTCAGTCATTTTGATGCATTTTAGAATTATAATTGTACTTTTAATGCAAAAAGACAGGCCATTATGTACAATTCAGGATCCAATTGTTGTAAAATTGAAGACAGATGGGCAGCCAGGGAATAAAACAAAAGTGTATGTCAAGAGAATTTATACATTATATCTATTCCAACTCTTAAGTGCAACTTAAACAGATCTATGAGGGATCAAAACAGAACAGCATACTTGTGCTAGTTTCATCTGCCCTTTGTGTTTCTGCATTAAAGCCAACTATTCCTCTAATTCCTTCCCTCTAATGCTCCACGTATGTCAGGCGAAATTAGCCGCAGATCCTGCTGGCCAAGCCCAACTCGGCAAAATCCATTTCTCAGCTGTGAAGAAGTCTGGCAGGATTCAGAATGTGAAGTCATTATTTATTTAATCTGTTCTCCTAACAAGCTCCTGCATCTCGTTTGAGACTCGCTGGAATCTGGGTTCTGACTGGATCTCAGAGTAGACAGCAACCGATAAAGACGTAAATTATGTGATCACCTGTTTAGCTCAGAAGAGATGTTCTTGGAGGTTGTGCAGAGCAGGTTTAGCATTCATATGTGTCTTGTATCTCGTTTTTTGAGCAATGTGCATGAATAGGAATGCAATAGCAACAATCTAAAAGTGGTTTATTTCTTCTTTTGATACACTGCAATACAATGCATTATTTTGTTAATTTGCTTTTTGTAGAGACTAAAGAAATGTATGTACAGTATCTAAATATATATATATATATATATA